AGAAAGAACACAAATCATCCTCTCCATGCTTGAGACAAGTTGTGGGAGACTTTCTCTCTCTTCTTACCCCTTCCCACTCATGGAGACCTTGGCAGAGCAATGAAAGCAGAGGGAAGACGTGCTCGGAATAACCTGTCACTCCTCCTCGGAGGGAGGAAGGGACTGTTTGTTTGTAATGATGTGATGGTCTTTCACTGCAGCTGAAGGGAACTTTGGGTCGTTAATGACTAGTGAGGTGGAATGCTGCAAATTAGAATGGGGTGGGGAGGCAGGAGGCGGCCTGGAGAAAGCGGGCTGAAGTTGCGGTCTTTATAAACTCTGAAGTCAGGAAAAACGTTTCTGTGCAGCTGAGTTCTATTGTTCGTTTTTTTCCTCCATAGTGTAGTAACTTTTTATTTGACCAGTGTATAGTGTATATGTAAGTGTATAGCTAAAATTCAGAATAATTAAATGAAATTTTCAGCACCTTTCTGCACAGACTTTTCTAGTATGGGCACACCAAATATGCACGTTTGAAAAATGTTTTAGTGTAAAACTCAGCAGAAAGGTAGGGACCTCAAATGCTATAGCTTCCAGTGGGAAGCAAGAAATAACTGTTGTTTTTAGGTGTCTGTGTGTTTGAACTGAAGTTTAATTAAAAAGTAGATGTTTATTAGCAGGGATTTTCAAGTAAATAAAAAAAAACACCTCCTTGATATCATTAAGGATAATAAGGATATTGCTACATTTTCTTAGATAAAAAGGAAAATATTTTTTTATCCTGTCTCAAAAACTTTACCAGCTTCTTTTGAAATGGAATCAGCTGCAAGAAGTGGTTGCAGTCAGTTTACCCAGTGGAAAATAACCTGTGCAAATACCTCCTCCAGAGATGAAGGCATTGCTTCCCACGTCTGTGGGATTGAATCAAATCAAATGATGAGACGTAGGCCCTGCCCACCTTCTCCCTGTCTACCTTTCCGACCTGAGCTCGCTGCTCTCTAGGCATATCCAGTCTCTCAGACTCATATTCTCTGCAAACACTGCTCTTTTTTCCTACTCATAAAAGTCTGTACTATCTGTTCTCTTAGCTTAGTATTCCTTGCCCTCCCTCCACCCTGTGAATTCCTACTTATCTGTGAAGACCTCGTTCAGATGCCTGTTCCCCACGAGTCCGCTCCCCACCACCAGTCGGTGAATCTTTGTTTATCCACTGTACTTTCCATGGTCCTTCCATATAGCAGGAGTCACTGGACTGTGCTGTGACTATTTGATTTTATGTTTGTCTTCACTCATTCTAGGGCAGCACTATCCTGAAGGAAGCTACTTTTTTTAATATACATAATTTTATTACAAATTTTTTAAGTGCCTGGGTGTATGAACAGAAGTTTTATTAAAAAGCCGATGTTGTTCCAAATATAATATTAGCAGGGATGTTCAAGTAATAAAGAAACCAATGACTCACCTCATTGTTCAATACTCTGAAAAAACCCAAATTTACCATTGATACTAATACATATGAGTTTGCAGTGCTACCATACACAAGTCAAGAAATTAAAGAAACCATTAAGTAGTTAGAAACATTTAACATTAAAGCTTTAAAATCTAACTGTATGTAGTAGCCCCTTAAAAAGCTACAATCTTCCTTTTTAAAAAGGTGTTTTTTCTACAAAGAATCTTATTGGCCATACAGAAGTCTGTACGGTTTTATACTGAAGCTAATGCTGAGCTGCACTTGAATTCACATGCAAAACAATTGCCTGAACACACATGCAGACTCCATACACATCGTTACTTTTTAATGTTCTCATATTCCATGCACTAGACAGTCCCCCAAATGCAGTTTAAAACTAAAAATACATAAAATCAGGAGATTTGGGGTTTTTTTGTGAAAACAAACCCCAAATTGTTAAAAAGGTAATATCATAATTTACAACTGTTTCGTATACTTCTGTTTCAGTTACATGAATATTTAATGGTTAAGTAAAAATAACTCGAGTAAATAAATATTTGCCTTCGCCGGTATAATTGAAAATTTTAAAACATTGATTCAACATCAAACATACTTTGTACTTTGTATCCTTGTTTTAGTATTCACACTGTTTGTGACAGGAACAGTTTGGTAAATGCTACGTTAAAGAACATTATTGACAAGGATTCTTTTTCTCAGAAGACAGGAGAGTAGTGGGAATTGTTGACCATTTTCTGATGTCCTCTTTTCTGGGTTCTGTAATCAGTTGTTTATATTTATTTACTTGCTCAATCTATATAAAATCTTAACAGTTGGGTAATGAAAAAACCATAGAAGAGAGTTGAAGTAATTTGCCCAAGGTTATACAGACAGCACAAACAGGCTTTCTCTGCTCCACGGTACAGGCTCCCTAAATCTAGAATAAGTGGGTCTGTGTAAGAATTCTACCATGATGGGTAGTGATGTCCTATTCACATTGGCAGTACAATCTGTAGTCCTTTTTTATGTCCTTGTTCTTCTCTCACGTATATTTTCAAATCGAGACCTTTCAAATTTAGAGCTTTCTTTGAAGCCTCATTTGCTGTGTACTTTGAGTGTGCTGAATCATATGCAAATTGGGATTGTTTTGCTAAACCAGATTTCTCATCTACCTTATGAGTTTTATAAGATCTTTTGAGCCTCATTGTCTGGAACCTAATTATGCATTTTTTAGAACACCTCCTTCTGTGTTGGCACCCAAGCATATGTTAAACCATATAGAGAAAATGGAAGGAATTAATAGGGATACATCTTGAATTTCTGAGCATTATAAATGAAAGAAATAATTCTGTATTAACAAAATGTTTGACTAAATGGAACCCTCTCCTCGCACTTCTGACTTTCACTTTCCCTCAGTCAGAAGTTTAGATTCAGGGACCCATCCTGTATGCTGAAATCCCGAACTTTTTTCTAAATTTATAAACTCAGTTGCTTAAAAGCCTTTAGTTACTATATAACATATAGTCTAAACTCTGTAACCTGTATTCAGAATCCTGCACAATCTGGTTCTACTCTGTTTAGCTTTCTGTCCAACTGTTTACTAATAGGAGCTCTCTGCTCCAGGAAGGTTTTTTCTTTTCATGCTGTTGCCTAAGGGGAATATTTAATCTTACCTCTAATTCTTGTCCTTACCTTTCTATCTCCTCTATTGCTGTATATATAAATTCAATGACCATTTCAGCATCCAGCTGTCCCTTCCATGTTTGGCCCGCTATAATTCGTCTCTTGCTCTGGTTTTCTGCCTTTATTTCACCTGAGGACACTTCATCTTAAAATATCTTACAATTTTTAACGTAGTTCTCTCATATATATTATATATAATATAAATTGCTTTGTCTGTGGTATTGTAAATTTCTCAAGGGCATGTACTTCCGCTGGCACATAGTGCAAAATCAGAAATGGTTGCTGATATGAATTGTTTTGAACTGAATTAGGATTCCAGGGAGGGAGCCACTCTTCTCTCTCGTTGCTGTGAACCATTTATGGATGCGCATATTGGGGAAGTGAGAGCGGTGGGAGCTGTCCCACATTTCAGCCATTTACTCCTCATCCCGCCGCGCAAGGCTGGGTTCCAAATTGGCAGTGGAGCCATGTTGTGATGTGGCTCTGAGCCCAACACAGAAGGTTTGAACAAGAGATCCTATTGCTTGATTTTTGACTGCTTTTGCCACATGTAACCTCTCTGCCCCTAATCACTCTTATTCTTGTTAGTTATGCCTCAATCTCCCTTCTTAGCTTAAAGGGGTGTGGATAAATAACACCGAAAGACCCCCTCATTCACCACCCCCATCCTCCATTTTCCTGACAAGTAAGTTGCATGGCTTCTGTGAAATACAAAATGTGTAGTTTCTTAAGCTTAGTCTATTCCAGGATTTCTGTTAAATGTCACCTCATAAAAGTGTGAGTTGTGGGTATTTGTGAAGTCACAGAAAGCAATTGTTGGGCTACCTTAAGCTAGAGAACAGATTTGAAGGGCATGTCAGAGGGTACTGTTGGCAGGTACTGGTGTCGGTGTGTATGTGTGTAGGGGTGGGGGCATCCCTTAAAAATGGCAGAGATTTTTTCCAATATAATAAATCTTCAAATATCAAGTAAACACATCTGATGATGATGTCTTAGACATAATCATTGAAATACGTCTGTGTTCTCATACTCTTGAATACTCCTTAATAATGACTTCTCTTTGGTAACAGTGCGGTGTCTACACGTACTGATAATTCATTTATATTTCTTGCTATTCATTTATTGCCAATTCTTAAAGTGAAAGAAATCAACTAGCCTTTTAAAAGTTTTTGTAGTGTTGAAAAAGATCACTCAGAATATTATGGGAAATCAGTTTACAAAATGTGTGCATTGTTTACAGTGAGGCACAATTACATTTAAAATATTGAAAAACTGGATAACTTACAGTGGTTTGATTTACATAGTAAGTGGTTAGGTTCACAGTAGCTCTTATTTTTTATATAGGAAACTTCAAGCTATAGTCATTTAAAATTAACTGATTGATGAGTGGCTTAACTGAAATATTTTAACTGGAAAGATTCATTAAGGATGCCTTTTACAGGTGACCCTTTTTTATACCTGTGTGCTTGATTCGAAGGCATTTACTTCATTATTTAAATGCAGATGCAGTGTGAGAAAGCTACCATAACATCACTGACACTGGATGGGTTGCAGTGTTACTACCACTTCATCAAAAATAACATTTTATTTCTCCTTGTCTTTGCACAATTCCCAAACAGTTAACAATTTTAGCCCAGAGAAAACCCTGAGTAGAGAAACAGCCTATTTCACAGCGTAGGTGTGTGTTGCTTTGGAATCCCTGCAGAGCTGCCCGAGAGACCTGGGCCTTGGGCTTCGCTGGGCAGAAGGAGGCACCCGCATGTGCTGGGCAGCCCCTGAGTGGACAGCCGGGGCACGCTCTCTTCCTAAGAAAACAATCCTGCTCTGGGTCTCCACCGCCCTTTGTTGTCCTCCCCACGAGGGGATCGGTTGAAGTCTCTGTGGTGACAGCACCAGTTTGTAACAGGCTTGTCTCCCACAGTCCGTCTCAGGCCTGCTGGCAGGCTTGCCTGAAGCTCTAACATGAGTGGCAGCAGAGGAGTCTCAGTTGAAAGCAGGAAAGGCAAGAACCAGGAGGCTTCAGCGGGAAGGTCATCCTCACTGCTGTCCTGCTGTAATGAGCTGGCTGGAAGAACTAAACTGGCAGCTTCACATTTCCTTGCTCCTTCTTCTGTCTGTGTGCACGAGGGGTAAGGAGATCAGTGCCCCGCGGTGCAGTGCTGACAGGGGGCTCCGTTAATGTCTGCTTTTGTGGCTTTTATCACAGAATGGAAAGTTCAGGGGAGAAGTTGAATGACTCAACGTTTTCAAACCTCATCCTCCAACTGCTCTGTAATTTTACTATTTTCTCTATTAGGGCAAAGCTTTCAGATAATAGAATAACTCTAAAGGGATTTAACGTTCCTGTTTTCTCTAGCAATTAAGAATTAAGTGCAATCCAGTTTGGAACTTAGAGTTTAATAAAGTTGATTGTCAGCATACTGTGACAGTTTGTATGTGAAGAATTTAAGAAAATTACAACTCTAATAAACTTTGTTTTGATCATTTTGAGTTGAATACTGTTAGATTTTTATAGGTTAGCTAATTAACTTTGAAGTTTGTTTGAATTTTTATATAGATGCATGGAATAAATTTCTAGTTTTATAATGGCAATAATTATAATTTGTGACTGTGTCAGAAGTTTATCCACATTAAGAACAGGGCTTACTTAGTGATCATTTTGTCCAGAAGAATTATTCCTGTATAAAGTTGACTAAAGGATAACAATTTAAAAATAAATAAATGAAAGAATATTTATAAGAGTTGGTGAAGTATCTTCAAGTTAGAAGAAAGGTAATAAATATGAAATAACTTAATGAATATGAAACATAATGAATATGAAACAACTATCTATGATAGTGACTTGCAATGAGAGAGTCACGAGGTTGGAAATAAAGAGAAAGAGGTTTTATAAAATTAAGCCAGGGGACAAAGGGAATATGTATGAGATCAAAATGCATTTATAGTTCAACCTCATGTACTTGTGAATGCATTTTACAGAACCAATTTGACAATACTATTTTTTTTGAGACATGTGTATTATCAATTGGCATGCACTTTTGATCGGCACTCATAACATGGATGTTTTCATAATCTCAAAGTACTCCATAACACTATTAAAGTACTGTATTTTATGGCATGGCTATATGAAAATGCTTTAAATTTTGGGTGTAGATATGTGTAACTCAAAGGAGTTTTGTGTGTGGAGATGAAGGAACAATAGGTCATTCATTGACCTGATTTGCTATTTTCCAAAAAATGGTTATAATCTTGTACCTAGCAGAAGAGACCGGAAAGGCATCAGGGTAACCGTTTCTTAGGCTATTTCAGGAAGCTCAAAGCATGATATATGGGATGTGAAATTCTTGTTCCTATAATCATGCTCCACTATTTCTTGATTGCCTGAGGGAAACTTGATTTTCTTTTAGCGTTTACCTTGAAATATATGAATACCTAAATTCATTATTGATGTATATTAACAAAAAGCAAAGAGACCATAGGCTAAAGAGCAAATCTTTGAATCATAAATGTTAGGCTTAGAATATACCTGAAAATAATGTATAGCTGTCTTACTTTTCCACTGATGAAGTTGAAACCCAGAGACATTCCTTGCTTTTCTACAGGTAACGTAGCCTTTGACTCCCTGTCCAGGGCACTTTCATGTGTGTGTGTATTTCTAACTTATTCTGTAGCATAGTGGTTAGGAGTATGAACTCTGGACCCAGAATGACCAGGTTTGAATCTTAGCTCTACCACTTATTAGATGTGTAAACTCAAATGAGGTGACTTGTTAGTGTCTTAATTTTTTCAGCTGTAAAATGGGGATAATAATAATACTGACCTTAGGGTTGATTTGATTTCAAAATGAGTAAATGCATATAGAACACTTAGAATAGTAGTATCTTCATAGTATTCTCTTCAGGTGTGTTGTGACCAGTATGATCATTAATAATATTAATTTTGCATGTATAAGAGGCAACCAAGCTGGGAAAGGAAATTGAGATAAAATTTAAAAGAATTCCTAGCTCATTTTAGTGTTATTAACATACTAAATCTCAACTTGTATTTCTAGCTTTGTCACCAGTGAACTTTTAATTTTTAGGGAGAGGCATTTTTCCACTTATAACTTTTTATGAAAAGTAAGCTTCATGGGTTTTATGATTTTTTTCCCTGCTAAAGAAAGAATGTGCTGTAAACAGAGCCTATGAGTTTAACCAAGACTAATCAATTTTCACTATTCACAGTTAATATTCATTGCCATCTTGTCATCTTTACAATTATTACTTCTGCATATAGTTCAATGAGAATGATGATCACAAAAATGGTAAAATAGGAAGTACAGACACTTGAAGTGGCTATGACTCAAGTGAATGACAAAGCCAAGACGAATGTTCTAAGACCTTAAATCCTTATTTAAAGTGCGTATATTTCAAATTGATAATTTGAGACATTTGGAGAGTGTGAGGTTCAGGCTAATAAACTATTTTTAAATTAAATATATGGAAACTTAAAGTTCTATATGGAAGGAATATGTACGCTATTCTGGTTGCACCTTAAATGGTACAAAGCTCCGCAAAGTCTCCATAGGGGGAAAGAACTCTTCCTACTTGGAACACTGTAGCTCAGTTGGCTCATGTGTAGGGTGATTCATCAGCCTAAACCTCATCACTGTTTAAATCTTATCTTACATGTTTTAGTTGAGGAGGCACAGGCTTAGAAGAAAGGAAGCAAAGGTACATCTTGGTAGATGTTTTGAACTTCGTGTTTTCTATATTGGCACATTGTGATTGCTTCAGAAGTCCATCTTTTAAAGCTAGGAATTGTGAAATGGAGAATTGCCTTCTTGTAAAAGTGAAAATATGAACTGTAATGGTGAAAATCTGTACTGCTCATTTCTATTTAAAATATATTATTTTAAGGATTGAGGTATTTATACCACCCTGCTTCTTACTTTTCAAAACACCGTGCAGAATTCACAGGCAATTTTGATGAATGTAGTACAATGTGCAAATAGTATTAAAGCATCATTTTGGTCACCACTACTCTTAAGTTCTACTAGAGGAATTTAGTGAGGGTATAAATGTAATAGGTTGACACCCCCCAAACTAATAGACTCTTACTGTTTGTTTTTCCCACACATTGGTGGCAACACTGTCCCCTTCCTGACATGGATGGGCCTCATGTTTTGGCATTTTAAAAAGGTGAACTTCTCACTGAGCTTCCTGTTAAATGTATATGTGAAAATTTCTGCAGTGTTTTTCCCCCATGAGATCATGGTATAAATTATTATAGCAATCAGACTAAGATCAAAGTGGCAGCGAAATTTTCGTCTTCAGTTTAATACTAATTCTACATCAACAAAGAGTTGGGGGAAAAGGTGAGATAGGAAGTAGGAATCATATTTTTTAAAAGAGCATATTGAATTTATTAGGAATCAGATCTTTTTAAATACAGGAAAATCCCTAAATCCAATAAAAAAAAAGTAGCTACAAATCTCTATGGTTCTTAGAGTTTTATGTAACCCAGATTTACACCCTGCCTCTTCATTGCTAGCTCCTATTCCACAGGTTCCCTATTGCAATATTTGTGTTTGACCTGGCTGATACTAAATTACATTTCCGAAAAATCATTGTTATTAAATATTTTAAGTAACATTAAGGCAAATAAGGAATGCAGTAACAGATGGATAACAAACATGGCTGTGACTGTGTGGTTTCAAAATAAGAATGGCAATATTACTAGAGGGCAACCATTTTTGGTAATATTTTAAGTGAAAAATGATCCATGTTACCATATGGCAAAATATAGTGAAAATTTGAACTGTTAGACTGACACAGCTGTTAGATGCATAAATGTGTTTCTGTGTTTAAAATATTTTCTACTACAGCTATTATGTGGCACTTTCAACAATTAATCTTGGCCTATTAATTGGCAATGACTGCAAGTTGTGGTGAGCATCACAGATGTAAGAAATATTATCTCTGTGATCATTTACCTGGGAGTAAAGTGACTAAACTATAGTTCTCAAATTCTGCTGAGTAGATTTGATAGTAGAAATTCACATAACTATTCAGTGCAAACTCTGATTATTTGATTGTGCCTTTTTCTGAGAAGTTAGTTATGTTTTTAATAGTAGTGGAAACCAAATATGTAAGTCATTTATATGTCTGTGTGTATAAATATGTGTATGTAGGTAATTTTTATTTTTAAATTGCAAGTACATGAAGACTTCTTGATGAATAATAGCATTAGAAAAATCAGAGTAATTCAAATTAAGGTTTTTTTTTAACTTGTAAGCAGTTGAATCTAAAATAACATTTTATAAATCTTCTATTGATTTAGAACTGCCAGGAACAAATTTATGAATATGTTTTTCCCTCAGTTTTCAAATACACATTTATTTTTAGAATTCACACAGGTCTTGGTCAAATCTTTAAATAAAACAAAGTATTGACAATTATAGGAAAATACATTAATGTGCTAAACTCTATCAAGCTTTCTCTATGCTACGTTTTAGGTCCATATTCACTCTGTGATCTTTTTCCTCGTTTTATTAACTGAGTTTAATGGGCGGTGATGCTGGTTAACAAAATTATATAGTTTCCAGGGGCACAATTTTAAAATACACCATCTGTACACTCTGTTGTATGTTCATCACTCCAAGTCAAGTGTCTGACCATCGCCATTTATCGGCCGCACCCTCCTCCACTTCCCCCCCTCACCCTGGAAACCACTACACTGTTGTCTGTGTCCATGAGTTTTTTTCTTTCTTTTTTTTTTTTCTTTTTTGGTCAGTCCTCCCACCCTTCAGCCCCTGCCTCCTCTCCGCAGCTGTCAGCCTGCTCTCCCTGTTGGTCTTGATTATTACACGTTTTTTAAATCTGTAAAGTAGTTACGTTGGCCATCTTAATATTTTTGTGAAATTTTAATATGAAAGTATCTAAGGGTGATCTTGTGACTGTGTGCTCAGAATAACCTAGTTCTTACTTTTAGGGCCCTGCCATTTTTTTTCCAACACTGGAGAAACTGATCTTTTGGATTAACTGATTTTTCTGTTTGTATAACATCTCTTACCACATTCTTTCAATAGCTAACTATTCATGTAAAATGTCATTATTAGTATTGATATGTTTTGTTGTAAAGAACAGAA